TCATATTCATTGACATATTCAATGTAATTAGTTTCAGTTTTCCCTAATCATCATACAATGTCTACAACAATCAAGACTATCCTCCACCGATAGCCCAAAGCAGTTATCTCTAAATAGATAATAAATTTATCAACAGATAAAATACCGACATTTTCATAGATGAGTGATTAAATTATCTAACTACACCATTTACTCCCGCAATTTTCCAATTTCATGAATTTCACTTCAATTTCACATTTTTCCAAATTAATTATTCGAATTAATTATTCAACATAATTAGGGCATTTTTCCCTTCTCTCAATATTAGCCCAAAGACTCAATTTCATTGATTTAACAACAACAATTTCATTTTTCCATGTCTCATACACACATAGGTTTTAACATTTGAAAACCCCCTTTTTATAACCTCAAACCAAACCCTAACTTTCTCAAAATGACTAAGCAACACCATTGAATCAAAATGACCAAAATTTATGTTAAAACTCATAGAATAGAGTAGGTTATCCCTACCTTAATTTTCGGAGCTCAAAGGAGAAGATGGAGAAAACACAAGATGCTCCAAACCAAAGGATTTTCGGATCAAAATGAAGCCCACACCAAGCACAACCTTTCTTACAAAGGGACTATGGTAGAAACACACTAGAACTAGGTGTATTTTTAGAGAGAAGGTATATGTAGAGAGAGATACAGCCGATCTAGGGTTTGAGGAGAAAGAGATGCAGACAAAGTGAAGAAGAACCTGCTACTGCGAATGAATATATTCGAGGCTCGCTCGAGCGAAGGAGTGGTCGCTCAAGTGACCAGACACAAAGAAACCTCGCTCGAGCGTAAAAAGCCTCGCTCGAGCCAACAAATTGAAGCTTCAAGTCTGCAACCCAGAAGCATGCCTGAGCGAAGAAAAGATCGCTCAAGCGAAGAAACCCAAAACATAGACCTCGCTTGCTCGAGCCAAGAAATGCAACCTTCAGGTCCAGAACCAGACGCAGACGCAAGCTCGAGCGCAAGACTTCTCGCTCGAGCCACCAGACACAACAACCAACTCTCGCTCGAGCGAAGGAACCCTGGCTCGAGCGAAGGGTCTAAAACACAGAGCTCGCTCGAGCGACAAAAGTCTTGCTCGAATGAAGACACCAAAAACTGGGCAGCAACCATTTGTTTCAAAACACTCCCAACCTGACACAAACCTGCCTAACACATCCTAAAACTCAAGTACAAAGAATTGAATGACGGAAACAAGATATATACAACAACCAACACTACGGAATCTAAGTCCGGAATACAATAACCAAATGGAAAAAAACCAGGATTGCTATAGAAGACAGGCAAGTGTTAATATTTTTTTTTGGAAATTGGTGAGAGAGATTAGGATGGAGAGATTATGAAATATTTTTGATATATTTCCATTTGAAATTTATAAATTAAAGGATAATTATTATTTCAAAAATAATAAAAAAAAATCAGCCAATAGTTTTTTTTTAAAATCTATTTTATAAATTGAAAAATCAATAATTTTAGAAAATTAATTAATTTGTCATATTAAGTGATTTAAAATTTTGATTGACATACATTAAAAAAATAGATAATTATATTATTAAATCATAATTGAAATTTAGATATTGTTATATCTTTTTGATATCCATATCTAAATTTTTATCATCTTTATTTTTGTGTGGTTTCTAAGTTTTTTTTTCAATTTTTTTTAGATGGAGTTTGGGTTTTATTTATTTTTTTAAAATTTAATTTATCTGTGATTTCTATTTGTTTTTAATTATTATTATTTAGGTAAGTTATGATGCGAGTTAAATATGTGATAGATATGTGAGTTTTATTGGTTTAAAGTATAATAGTGGGAGATATTTTCCAATCAAATTTATTTAGATAGACTTTATAGATTTTTAAAATTTAATACTGGATATTGAGAGGCAAAAAAAAATATTTTAACTGAATAAATAAAAATCTAATTTATGAATATATAGATAGATATAAATATTTTTCATTAGAAGACTTCTCATTAGAAACTCCCTTTTTCTTATATAATATATAGATAGATATAAATATTTATATTTGTTTTAGATATTTTTTTAATATACAAATTATTTTTTTAGATTTTTTATAAAACTAATTTAACAATCTCATCACTAACCATAGTGTATGAGAGAAATTGAAAAAGATGCTGCAGTAATTATGAGAAAAGTCAAAAAGGTTAGTGGGTTGGGAGAAGTCAATAAATACTGAGGTTATTTATTTTTTTAAATAAAAAAATTAGAAAATTAGGATTGAGATATTGGAGCTCCCACAAAATTTGTGAATTAAAACCCCCTTTTTCCTTATATAATATATATATATATATATAGATTTGTATAATATAATCCTACAATTAATTAACGATTTAACCCTAGCCAAAAAAATCAATAACCTAAACAACTCAAAAGAACATTCACAAGAAATCAAATTGCTGCTTAGACCAACCCTACCACTAGTGTTCTCTTCTCCAAGTTTTCTTCAGCATCAGGTAGTTCTTATTAGGGGTGTATGCAATACGATTTGGACAATTTGAGAGTAAAATTACAAATCGAATGACGGATTGACAGATTGACAGATTGACAAATTGCGATTTGAGTGATTTTAATGGATTGGCAGATTGAATATATAGCGATCCCGATTTTTCCTTCATTGTTTAACAATATTTCGGACTTAGGTTCCGTGGAGTTGGTTGTTGTAGATGTCTTGTTGTCATCCGTCAATTTCATATACTTGAGTTTTAGGATGCAATGGATGTGTTTCGAACAGGTTGGTTGATCTTTAGTCCCATTCCTTGTTGCCCAGATTTTTGGTGGTCCGCTCGAGCGAGTCCCTTTGCGCTCGAGCGGAGTTTACACACTTTCAGCATTTTGTGCCTCTGCAAAACTACTGTAGGGTTGTTTTTCACGCTCGAGCGGAATTCTTTACGTTCGAGCGGGTCGCGCTCGAGTGGGTACCTTGGCGCTCGAGTGGGTGTTCGATATCTGTAAAAGTACTGGAGAAGTGTAATCTACACTCGAACGGCTTTTCTTTCGTGCTCGAGCAGGTGTGTTGTGCAGTTGTGTCTTGGCGCTTGAGCGGGTTCAGTTTTTGTGCTTGACGCTCGAGCGTCCTATTCTCTGCTCGAGCGGGTCATACGTATATCAGTAGATAGCAGCAGGTTTACACTTCACTTTTTCATCTCTTTCTTTTTCAAAACCCTAGATCTAAGCTCTCTCTCTCTCTCTCTCTCTCTCTCTCTCTCTCTCTATACACCTTCTCTCTAGGGTTTCATCTCCTTTTAGTGTGTTTCTATCCTAAGCACTTTGTAAAAAAGATAGAGGGTGGTGTGAGCTTTGTTTTAATCTGAAAAATCTTGGATTTGGAGCACTTTGGATTTTGGTCATCTTCTCCTTTGGGCTTCTAATTTCGAGGTAAGGATACCCTACTCCATCTTATGAGCTTTGTCTTTAATTTTGGTCATTTTGATTTGTTGGTGGTATTGGGTAATTTTGAGAAAAGTTGGGGTTGTTTTCTAATTTATAAAAGAATGGGGTTTTCAAATATTAAAACCCATATGTATGTGAAACATTGAGAAAATGGAATTAATGTTGTATTATAGGTGAAATCAAGCCTTAGAGTTGATATTGAGGATTTGGGAAAATGCCCTAACTATAATAATAAATTAATTTGTATAATTAATTTTGGGGAAATGAGAAATTGAGTTGAGAATAATGAAATTGGGGAATTATGGGATTAAATGGTGTAGTTGGATTAATTATCACTCACCTATGAAAATGTTGATATTATATCCGTTTGATGCTTTTATTTCCTGTTTAGAAATAACTGCTTTGGGCTATCGGTGGAGGATAGTTTTGATTGTTGTAGACAATGCATAATGATTAGGCGAACTAAAACTAATCAATTGAGTATGCCATCGAATATGGCGGTTGAAATAATACATCAAATTTATGTATTGATTAATCTTGTATATGATATGTGTTTATATACATTGTGTTGTGTGGGAGGAGATAGGGGATGTACTCCATTGATACAGCAAATAAGTGTATCTATTGAAGTATTGATATAGCAAATCTGTATACCATATACGAAGTATGGAAGTGTTTTGTTTGAGATTGATACAGCAATTATGTGTGTCTATTGTGAAGTAAGAAGTGTTTAATATGAGTTGTTATCCCAATTAAAATGGATGTACTATTAATATGAGATGTAATCTCATTTAAATTATCTGGCCAGGTTCTGAGCCACGTTTATGAAATGATTTAATAAGTAAAGGAAAACGGATTGTAACATGGATTTGCTAGTCATGGAATTGTATTGTGAGATACATTGGTTTATATGTGTTAACCATCTGTCAAATGCCATTATTTAGTCATTGTTCATATTTGGTTTAGTAGATCTCTACTGGGCTATGGTTCACCCTATATGGGATATCATTTTCAGGTACAGATGGTATGCCACCTCCAAGGACGTAGCTTGGGAGGCTAGAGGCTGACAGACTTCTTGTGTTATCTTTTGCGTATTACATGTAAATCAAGCCAAGAGCTTACTTTGTAATTGAGTTAGTACTCCCTTTTTGTGACCAAGTGTCGACTTGGAAAGTTGTAAGCCCATAGGGCATTTACTTTTGTTGTCAACATGTAATACTTTTGTATCTAACTACTCTGATGAATGGAAAGATGTTTATTTCTTTTATATCTATGCGTGTCAAGATTGTTGGGTTTTATGTATTATTTTGAAGGTGTTACAGAATAATATTCTAATTAATTATCATACATTTGCATAATATATAACTCTAATTTGTATAATATTTTTTAAATATATGACACAAAGTAATTTTATATAAAATGTTTCATATGTATAACCAGTAATTTGTAATAAATTTTATATCTTAAATATTTCTCACACTTTTTTTTACATTGATATTTCATTAGAGGTTAAAAAATATATATGCATTAACTATAGCGGAACGGAGCGGACAGAACAGTTCAGTTGGCAAATTATAAATTTTAAATTTTAACGCTGATAACGGCTAGAGTGGTGTGAATTGCTACGGATCAATTCGATTTCACTGAATTGAGTGGCATTTTGCACATCCCTAGTTCTTATTGTTCTTTCTGTTTCTTCATCTGGTGTGGGTTCTATCTTGTCTTGCTTCTTTCCAGTTTTAATTTCTTCGTGTGGATCTTCTTCTTCATCTCCCTCTTCCTCTTTTAGAAAATCACAATAAGTGTAGAACCTAGCAACATATGCAAAGATTAACAGATTGGCTATGCCCACCACCACTAATGCAGCATAAAAATGATCTAAACGGCTCTGATTCACAGTGCCTGCAATCCAACTTCCATCTTCAGCTCTCAACTTCATGACCACCACGTCTAATATCATAATAAACCCTATGTTCAGTATTTTTCCCCCTCCGATCACAGCTTCAGTGAGTACGAGTGCATATCTCTTCCTTATTGACTCTGGAACCTGATACTTAAAGAAATCCTCCATACCACCAAGAGCTAATCCATCCATGATTCCCATCAGTACAAACTGTGGAGAGAGCCAAAATACAGATATTGGTGCAATGGCATCGGGATTACCTGACAAGCCATGTTCTGTCAAAGCTTTTAGCCTTTTATTCTCCACCCACCAAGCAACTCTACAACAAGCCAAAGCGGCAACCATTCCTAAACCAACCTTCATTCCAGCTGAGTATCTCCCATTCATTCGCTCTATTCGTCGTTCAAATACTATCCTATACAGAGGTTTCACTGCACAATTTGCAAATCCTGCCATAAGAAGGAAGATTTGAATGGGGAGTTGAATTTGATGCTGCTTTTTTTGTAATACAAAATGAAATGACCTGTCCATTGCATTTCCTTGCGCAATGAAAAAGGTATTACTGTTGGATTTGATCACCCCATACAAAAGAAAGGTAGCTGAGATTGGAACCATTCTTAACAGATGCTTTGTCTCCTCAACCTCATCCACTGTGCAATTAATCCATCCATCGGGAAACCAGCAGAAATTGCATGGCACATTTATTGCAGCATTATTGAGCCTGCGCAAGTGTAAAAGATGTTACAAACTATACAAATTTTACACCAATACCATTTCCATCTTTATTTCAAATATAATGCTATCATAATTTAGTACATTTTGTAAAACGTTATAATATTTTTTCAAAAAAATAGATGCCAACCAAGTTTTGGTTTATAGTTTCTAAATTTTCTATAAAGGTAACATAAAAATGTATACATAAACTTTATGATTATTGTGTACTCACCGATCGAGCGTCGCCCTTTTCTTGGGACCTTGAGGTGTCTCCTGGTTGTGACCTTGACCTTGAGGTGTCTGATCTTCATCCCCATAGTTAAATTCTGTGCCTTGCTTGGTAGAGTCAAGATGCCTCTTTAAGAATGCAGCCAGAAGGACCCGCAACATGTTTGTGAGGGCACTTGCTCGCAATTGAGGGGGGAAAGAAATGCGTATCCCCTAAAAAATATAACGATCCCAATTGCCATTACATATGCAGATATCAAAAACCGATAAGACCAATCAGGGGTAAAAATCGACAATACAAAAATCAATGTGATGCCACCTGCAGCTCCAACTATGTTGCAGGTAATTTGAATAATATTCTTTTGACATTTCCTTTCGTCTCGAATCTTTCTTCGGGGAACTTCAAACTTCAAGAAACCAAATTTGTATTCCTTTGTTTCGAGTGGATCTCTTTTGAATTTTATTTTACCAAAGGTGAGGGCTTTCAAACATATTCGCTCGCCAGCCTTGGCAAGAACAATCAAAGCTAATCCCCAATAGAATGGTGAAGCAGTTAGCTTCGAAGAGCATAATTTCTCCCTTGCTGGACATGACTTTACACCATTGGAAAAGAACCGATCAGGAACTGACATTACTAGCAACCCCAATCCCTGCATCAAACCATCTCCTATTCATTAGTGAGAGAAAAATTTGCAAAATATTTTAAATTAATTTGGACCAGCTTTGATGTAAGATAAGGGTGTATGCATCTTGACTCTAATTTTGATGCTAGATTTGAGTGGTTTCCAACTAAAGAATAGAATCATTGTGGGTGGTTTGGCCACCCTAGGTTAGTGGTTAACATAGTCTGAAGAAATGGTCATGGTGTTTGATCAAAGATTTAATTGCATTTTGGATCAAAAAATTAAGAAAGTTAGGGTTTGCATTGTATTGTATTGTTTGAAGATTTGAGTTCTTGAGTTAAACTTGATTCAATGGCATATTCAAAGTATTTAACTAAGAAAGGGTTATTGTTTACATGCATCATTTATATAAATACACCAATTGAAAAGCCATGAAATATTAAATTTCATTCAATAATGCTCCAATTTTTTTATTTTTTATTTTTGTTCTGGCTGGATATGAGAACTTTGGCTTCGCACTTGGATGTAGTACACCAAAGACCATGACTAAATTTGTCTGAGAAAGCAAGTGAAAAGGTACAAAGCGCTTCTAGAAAGGCTAAATTATGAGTTGTTTTATTCTATCGGTGAGAATCAATTAAGAAGTATAATTCCCTATGTAAAATGCAAGGAAAGATCCAATTCCTGCCTATCAGCCTCAGCAAATGCACAATTAGCCTAGTTTAGTTTTGGTTGTCAATTCCCAGTCAGAACAGAGTAGTTTATCTATATCTTCACTACTACTACTACTAACAAATTAGCAATGCTATGCCACAAATGAAAGGGGTGTGCAGAATTCCGGTGACTTACAATGCTGTAAAGAACACTTGTGATGAGCAACATCCCAGCATGGCCAAGATAAGCATCTATGAGAGCAGCCTCCACTAACCCCATGATACCTGCCGCTCCACCTTTAATGTTTATGATTGCAACAACATGCTTGAGTTTTAACTTCCAAATGTGAGTCAAGAAGGTCACCAAGTTAGCCAAGAGATATGCGGCCATACTGTTGCCGTAAATCAGACCTGCAATATAGACATTCTGGTTTTTAGCACGAAGATTCAGATCTTATTTTATAATAACATGAAGTGTTAAATATTCAATTCAATGTGATTACGTTGACAATAGGGAATCAGCATAATTTCCCTTTTCTAGGTTGAAACCAACATAGAAAAATAAAGGGAAGTTATTATCAAATGTACTTTTACAGCATAATTTGAGAAACATATAATAGGTAGGCAACCAATCTTGTACATTGAAATAAAATAGTTTTGGATAAATTACACGGACCTTCCGTTATAATTGGCAAAACTACATTTGAATAATTTGACATACACCACCATCATCACCATTTTTTCTCCATCCCTCCACACCCCGCCACGGTCCCACCTCCACACACCATCACATCTCCACTAGCCTCACCCCATCACCTGCCTTCCTACCACGATTACACCGCCCGCCAAACCACAACACCGCCACCACAACAATTATCATCTCCCTTCACTTTGGCATTCCACTATCACCACCACCACCAAAATACCCAACCACCACCATCATCCAAATCCAACAACAAATCACTACCAAAACTGACCCACCAATCACCACTAAAATCAACCCTTGGATCGTCACCTGAAGCCCCACCTCCTCTGCCCATCGTTGACTGAAACCCACCATATTCAAACGGTTGAGTTCAGGGACCTACAAGGGTGGCGAAGAGGTAGAGAGGAGTTATGGCGGCCGAAGAAAGAAAGAGGGGATTGCGAGTTACGGGTTGGGTCAGGGGTTGCCCCTGAGATTTATGGGACCTGAGATGGACTTTGAAAGTGGGCCCTCATATATATATTTAGGACAAATTACTTACACTTCTCTTGATATTTAGTTAAAGTACAAATTTTCTTAAGATTTTATAAATTAAATCTCGTCCTTTAAGATTTATATTCGCATAATAATTTAACTCCTACCGTTAACTAAAAGTTAAGAATAGTTAGCTGACATCATCAAAATATGAATTGATGGACGATATTTCCCCTGTTGAAATCCCTTTGATAAATCACAAAATTTACAAAAGAATTACAATATATGGAAAAAAAAAATAAGTTTTTGGAACCATGCTTGATTTGTTGTTTAGAAAAAAAAAAATTTAGAATTAAAAAAAAATTAATAAAAATAAATATGAAAAAAATATATTTAATTTGTAAAAATTATATCTAACCACTCAAAAAATAAAATTATAAAAAAATAATAATTATTTTTATTTTTTATTTCTTAATCAAATTAATTTTTAATTTTTTTAAAAAAATAAAAATAAATTTCTAAAAATAAAACCAAACTTATTCTAAAATTTTTTTAACAATCCATTTCCTATGTTTTTAACTTATTTAATTATTTGTTAATTTTATGATATTTTTACTATCTCACACTACAACATATAAGAGTTTTAGAGACTAATTTTTTTGATCTCTAAAAGTGAAAATTTTATTGCAAAAGATATTTAAAGGCTAATTTCTATCGTCGGGAAGATAGTCGCTAAAAGATCGCCCTGAAAAGTAAAAAATATGGCTTTTAGTGATAAAATTTCGAAAATGTCAATAATAAATAAACTTTTAGAGACAAAATAATTTGGTCTCAAATGGTTTATTTTTTGAGAAAAAAAAATTGATACCAAAAAGATAATAATTAATCACTAATGTTCAATTTTCATTGACACTTTTCGCAACAAAAATATTTGGTCCCCTAAACATAATTTTGTCCCTAAACTTTGGTCTCCAAAACCTTAATTTTTTGTAGTGTGATAAGTGTTTTTCCATTTTAATTTTATGTTTCATAAATTATTTAAAAATGATAATTTAGCTAAACCTCAGGGAAAAATCTGTAATTTACCTAAACCTCAATGGGGTGTAGGTAATTTGCCCTTATTTGTCAAAAGGGCATTTTAGTCAATTTATGATATCCGTTAACGGCGTTAATTGCGATGGGGCAGGATGCAATTTTTGAAATCTTAGGAAAAATCTGTAATGTTATTAAATCTCAAGGGAAGTGTAGGTAATTTGTCCTATTTTTTATAAAAAAAATTACGGATAAATAATAAGTTATCTATAATTTTTTTATTATTTAGAGGTGGTTGGGATGATCTAAATAAGTGCATTTTTTGACTTTTTATGAAATATGTATTGGCTATGGGTTGGGTTTGAAGTGATGTGTTAGAGAGATAATGTGACTTAAATAATATGATTTGACTTAAATAGGATAGTGACTTTTTAACTTTTTTAAATCATGCCAAACAAGACCTTAGTAGCTACATAAAGTTTCCTTATACATATAATCATTAACATTTGTTTTCATACATTAAGATAAGAAAAAATCATTACAAAGACTCAAAAAAAATAAAATAGGGTGGTGTTGTTTTATAATTCAGCAATAATCGATACAAACAACATAATTTGCTGTTATTTGATAACGAAATAATTATATTATTGTAATATGATATCTGATAACACAATCATAATCTACACAAATCACAATCTATTAATTATTTGATAACAAAACACAAATTATTGGAAAAAAATTAGGAGAAAAAACTAAGGCAAATTTATTCAATTAAATTATGATAAAGAGATAGGGCAAAAAAATTAGGGTCAAACAAAATTAAAGAAAATAAATTAAGGTAAAATTATTCAATTAAAATATGAAAAAGAGAGAGGGTAAAAAAATTAAAATAAAATTATTTATCCTATTAAAATCTTGACATTAGACTCTATTTAAACTCATTATATCATATATATTTGTTTGAACTAATTGTATAAATTTTTAATTAGGCCTGACAATGATAATATATATATTTTTAATTTGGCTTAACAAATTTTTTTGAAAGACCTTTTAGATCTCAAACAATAAAAAAATTTAAATTTTAAACTTTTAATATAATATAAAATTAATAAATTTGAAATCTTATTTTAAATCAAAATTTAAGAGCTATAGACATAGACTTTAGTAGCCTTATCCCGTGACCGACAGTAGCATCGGGCATCGGGGCTTCGATTGGTTCGGTGTGGATGGGTTTGTCGAGGATAAGAATAAGGTTGGAATTTCAAATTTGGTGGCTTGCTTGAGTTTGTAATTGTGTGGAATTAGTTAGGAATATGAATAACTAGTTCACAAAAAAGAAATTGATAAAATAAAAAAAATTGGGAATAGGAATAAGGTGTTCCAACAAAGCAGGTAATTTTGAAATTCAGGGGAAAAATAGATGACCCCTCTAGAATTATTTATCACAAGTGATATAAGATGTAATTTTTATTTTTGAAAATTAAAAGAGTGATTTGACAATTTGATTTTTTATTTATTTTTAACACCAAAGTAGGTTAGTAGCAACTTGAATCAAATATGAAATAAAATTTTAATATTACTAATGCCTCTTTATAATCACTTGAATTACATCTTTTGATTTATTACTCATTTCAATTGAAAATATGAATTGAATAATTATTTTTTTATATAAAGACAGTCTTAAATATAACATTGAAATAGATAATGACGGATTTGAAACAATCTATATTACCATGGGTGTTGAATGGATTAGGAAAAATAAAATAAAATTATTGGTTAATGTAAATTATTATTAATATTTTTTTTGAAATGAACTTGAAACACTCAAATACTCCGCCCAAGAAGATATAAGAAAGAACTTGATACCTTAAAAAAATAATAATAATAATGATTCATTAAGCCTCCGTTTGGGAAGTGGGTTGGCTTTTTGGCTTTTTGGCTTTTTTGGCTATTTTAGCCTGGGCTAAAAAGCTTGGTTTGGGAAGGGCTTTTTGGCTTTTTGGCTTTTTTGACTTTTTTTGTGAGAGAAGAGTGTAATGATTATAGGTTGGATGTGATGTTTTGTTTGTTGTGGCTAAAATAGCCTATTTTGTCTTTTGTGGCTATTTTAGCCCAACCCAACTTGCCAAACACTCAGATGTGTTGGGGCTTTATGGATGTGGTCTATTTGGTGGACTTGGAAAGGCAACAAATAACTGGATTTAAATTATAGCCTTGTTTGGTTTGTGTTTCTTAAAAAATTTTAGAAAAAATTCTTTACAAATAAGTTTTTAAAAGTAATCAAATTAAACAAATTTTTTCAAATTTTTTTTCCAAAACTTGTTTGATTTATAAGTTTTTTAAACAAATCTCTCTCTCATACACATCAAATCAATCACTTTTTCCAAAACTCTCTCTCAAAATAATTTTTCAAAACATCTTTTATAAAAAACTAAACCAAATAAATTTTCATATTTTTTATCTCAAAATATATTTCTTAAATACAAACTAAACAAGCCCTATAACTCTTTAGAAAGTATGATGGAGCTTTTTTATGCATTTATGGAGCAGACGCTCTTGTAAATTATAATATGTTAGTAGTTTTAGTTGCCGATGATATTTATATCATAACCTTGAAATGAAATACAAATTTAAAAATAAAAAAAGTATGTGAGGAAACTAGTTGCTACAGTATTGAAATATAATATAAGCTGCACAAGAAATGAAAGTTGCAATTAATATATATTTACCTAGAACGATCAGAGCTTGACGTTCTTGATATTCGAACCATCCCTGAATTCTCTTCGTTAACGCCATATTCTCTCTTTCTCTCTCTCTCCGTCTTTTCTCTGATTCATCTCTCCCTTATATGAAGGTTAGAAAAAGAAAATTTAACGCGGTCGGTCTATTAATTTATTATTATTATTTTTTGATTCAACGCGGTTTTGTGCTCCCTTATGAAATTGATAAGAAAATTAAATTTCATCCGATAAGTCTCTCAAAATATAATTTTATTCATTGATTTAAGTGTATTATTTATTTTGAGTTTTTAAATTATAATTTTATATCAATTTTTTAAAACTCAATTCAAAATATAATCATTAATTTTCAAAACTCATAACCAAACATATAATTCAAAACTCTTTTCAAAACTCAATTCAAATCAATATTTTAATTTTTTAAATATTTTAAACATTTAAATATTTTTAAAATATTTTAATTTTGTTAAGATTTTAAATATTTTAATATTTAAATATGTTACGATTTTTTAATTTTTTAATTTTTTGAATATTTTTAAATATTTTAATTTCAAAATATTACGATTTTAATTTTTTAAATTTTAAAATATTTTATAAAAATAAATTCAAACCCTATTTTATAAAAATATTTTTAAATATTTTAATTTTTTTGTTTGTATTTGGATACGATTTGAGTGTAGAGTTGTAAAAGTAGTATGGAGTTTCGAGTTATGTGTTTGGTTATGAATTTTAAAAATAATTTCTTAATTGAGTTTTGTTTTATGTGTTTGGTTACGATTTAAGTGTATAGTTGTTTTTAATTTTAAAATATTAAATTATTTAAATTTTTTGAATATTTATTTTAATTTTTAAAATATTAACATTTTAAATTATTTAAATTTTTTGAATATTTAAATTATTTAAATTTTTACAATTTAAATTTTTTGAATATTTATTTTAATTTTTTACTTATTAAATTTTTTAGATTATTTAAATTATTTAAATATTTATGATTTAAATTTTTGAATATTTATTTTGAAAAAAAATTATTTCCTTTGTAGTATTTTCAATTAAAAAATTAATTAATGTTATTTTCTGTTAATAATAAAAAAAAATCAATTGAAGTTTCAAAAGAGTTTGGTTATAAGTGTTGATCAGAATTTTCAATAGTGTGAAAGTAGTGTGTTTTGTTATGAGTTATACCAATTTGAATTAAGTTTTGAAAATTCTTTCCAAAACTTATAACCAAACAAATTTTCTTACGTCACATGTCAAATCAAACTTTCAAAACTCAATTTCACACTCAATTCAAAACTTAATTCAGTACTTTATTCAAAAACGATAACCAAACAAATTTTCTACACTCAAATAATAATTTCACAACTCACAAACTCAAAATACAATTCATACTTTTAAATCATATTTACAAA